TTTTTTTTTTTTTTTTTTTTTTTTTTTTTTTTGAAGAATAGCGTAGGTGGTAGGGGAGTGAATTTGTGTTAATTTTTTGGCATACGGTGTTACGGTCTTGTTGTGGTGTATAAATTTCCTTTACTGAGTATGGTTCACCGAAGTGCTGGTGCCGTAAGGGGTTGTAAACTTGTTTTCAAAAGGAGTGCTGAGAAACTTCGGAATGAAAATAAACAGTATTTAAAGTGACGAATATCTTAATTGGCTTGTGAATGGTTTTGATTAAAATGTGGTTTGTGCTGAAGGTGCCTGGGTACTACGAGTGGTTTTTAAATGGAGATTATCAGGAGGCTGATTCTCTGTTTAGGTTTTTTGCTTAGACTTTTATTCTTGGTGGGAACAGCAGGCCATCTGCTGTGGAGCTTTATTGACCTTGCGTCAGCAGCGAGTAAAGATTGTAGACGTTGAGCATTTAAAAATGTATTGCAAACAGTTCAGGTGTAGGCTTTTCATTGAAACTACATATAATTAGGAAGTAGTGGACTAGAACCAAAGAGCTTGTATGTTGAAAAACATTTGTCTGGTATAAAAGTCTGAGGTGTAGTCGGAGCTAATTAATACGGCAGAGTACGCAAATAGTCGTATTTTTTATTTCTGCTTGAAAGCAAATGACTGAGGATAAAGCGCATGAACTTGTGAGTCGGTAACGACGAGTTAAAGATGCATGTTATATTTTTGAAACCTAGTGTGGATGCCATGGGCGGCGAGTGGGCGAGCGAGAAGTGGCAGGAAAGGGTTGAAGTTAATGATAATAACATTAAGAATAATAATTGTTGGAGAAGTGATGGAAGGAAAAAAGGAAGTAAGGAAAAGGATAATAGCAGAGAAGGTGACGAAGAACAGTGGAATGCAAAAGACTGGAGCAGTGGTGAAGAAAAGCAAAGCACAGAAAAGAAGGACTGAAGTGGCAGGAATTAGAAAAAGATGTGCGGCAGAAAGGGAACGTCGAGTTGGACGGAATATTGAAAGAAAAAAAAATATACATTCAAAAAGATACGCAGTGACCACCGCGAAACTGCTGAGTTTATATTTTGCTACACTTGGACAATAGACCGTTGGTGTTGAAAGGCTTGCTATGCCTATGCTAAATTGCAATCACTGTTTCATTGATTACAAGGTAATTTGTGACGCCTAAAGGCACCCGTCGATTGCATAAAAATTAATATACTTTTTACCGTTTTTATCCAAAATTCTGTAACGAAAATGGTCTGCTAGCTGGGGTCGCCGAAGACATGGTACATTCAGTGGCTATAGACTTCTCTTTTTAAATACAAACCTCGTTGAAGTACTTAATAATAATTCTGATCTAAAAAGGATAGTTGCAGTGGCAATAAGACTTTACTTATACTGGAATGTTGGGCTGGTACGAAAGGGGTAGAAAATATATGGTTAGGAAGGATTATAAGGTAAGCCAGCGAACACATTGTATACATTGGGGTGTTAAATTTTTTGTCAGTCTGAAGGGTCAAAAACAAGGATGAAGGTAATGGGAGACGCCGAAGCAATAATAATTGGGCGTAAAAAGTTGAACAGCGAAAGCAAAATGTAATGTCCGAGAATTACGATCAAGAAATGGTTAAAAAAGGAAACGCAAACGCAGCAACAAACTTTCATCAGTAACAAGGTGTAAGGAACAGTGGTACATTGCACACAAAAGCAACTGGTTAAGTCATTCTCGCTCTTATCCTGTTCTCCTTGCTCTGGCTTTCCTTCTCGGAGAAATTCAATGCAGCAAGTGGTGAATGGAAATATCCTGCGGTTGCGGTTTGCAATTTATGCCTCTCTAGAGGCAGAAATTTCTAGAGGCCATATGGAAACATTAGAAGTAGAGTAAAAGGTTAAAATCTAATTTTTGGCTACCCTACTCTAAACATTTCTTCGTCGAGCAGAACGACTACGATGACGTCGGCGGCGATGATGAT